GTCTGTGTCTGGTGAAGTTATGTAGGGTCATTAAAAAAAAAAAAAAAAAAAAAAAAAAAAAAAAAAAAAATAAAAATCAAAAAAAAAAAATCACACACGTACATTGGACATCTAGGGATAATGTAATTCGTACTTACCAACATACCTATTGATGGGCACAATAGCCAACGCTATCAGGAAAGAGGAAAACAAAACAAAAAAAAAATCATTATAATAATTCCTGTAATTTTATTAAATGGAGTTTATTGTGTAAGTGTTTCTTTGGCTTTGCGTTTGGGTTGAATACGAGTGGGTTGTGATAACGTGGTGTGTTTCTGTGAAGAAGGAGTTTTGTGTTTTTTAATTGTATTTATGGTGTTTCTTTGTTCCTGAGGTCGTGTTTGTGAGGTTGCTTGGGTTTTTGGTGGAGATATTGCAGTATTTTGTGAGCCTGTGGTGCTGTTAAGGTTTTTGCGTTTCGATTGTATACGAGTGGGTTGTTTCTGAGAAGAAGGAGTATTGTGTTTTTTAACTGTGCTAGGGCGTGTAACTTTATTGGGTGGACCTGTCTTTGTAGTGCATGTTGCGTTACTTGTGTTATTATTATTATTATTATTATTATTATTAAAAGGAGAGTCAATATAGACTCCCAAATATCTCACTGACCTGGTCAGACTCAATTGATGCCCATCAAGGTCTGCCCTCCTATTCGTAAATGGAACCATCTCGATCTTTTCCGGGTTAACGAAAAGACAGAAGGCAGAATGCTCGACAATGTTTCTAAGGAAATTCCAATCTCTGCCAAAGATGAAAAATTCTCAACTCAGCCCACGATATAGATATAGATTTATTTATTTATTATTTTTTGTCCCTCTTGTTCTGGGCTCTCAACAGAGCGTCCAATTACAAAGTGACCCGCATAATGCTCTTGTGAGGTCAAGATCGCAAGCGGTATTAGCCCCCTGTCGGGCACCTTATTTTCAATCGCCATTGAACCTTTCCTTGCTCTGTACCGAACGCTATTGAAAGGCTTCTCTATACCATCCTCTCCGTCCTCTCTTAACATTAAAGTTAGTGCGTATGCTCAATGCTCAATCAGGATAAAAGTAAAGGTTTGTGGTTGGGAGCTTGGAAAAATAGGTCTGACTAGACGTTTTAATTGGACTTCAAATAGCATAAAGTCCTTTCAAACAATGCAGATCATGACTCATCACACGCCTTCCAAGTATTAGACAGCATTCTGACCAACGCCGTAAACTGGACACTGGAGAATGTTCTCTTGGTAATTTTTAATTTTTGCAGCAAGGTTTATTTATTAAATTAATCTCGCTAATTGTGGATTGTGAAACAGTTTTCAAACTTATCGCTTATTAAGTCCTCAATCATCCATCATAAGCTTAATCAACTTCTTTAATCTATTATCTCATGATTTGATAAACCGAACCATATACATATAAAAGGGACACAAGCTTGTAGTAAGCCGAAATCTCTAACATGCTTATTAAGCTTTTACTTTTCGTCTTGTGCGCGGTATTTGTGCTTAAGGGGGTCGAGTCAGCAGGTAAGACAAAATTAACTGTTATTTCTATGAATGTCAAAATAATAAGACTCCTTGATTAAGTACGTTGATATGTTTTAGTTTGATAAGCTGGTTTCTTTTCTTTGTAATATTTAGTTAGTTAGTTTCCTGCATAATAATAATAATCTTTGATTCGGAAAATTGTAAATAACAATTACAGAAACGTCAAATCACAAACATAACATATATGTATATGTAATATGTGGACAAAATTAAATTTGTGGACAAACAACTCAGATGCATCCAGTCATTAAGTTTTGATTAAAGTTATTAGAGATATAATCAATAAATTCTTTTACTGAATTATTTTGTAATATCTGTTTCGTTCTATTTTTGAATAGGGGGTGGTTCATTTTCTTTGAAGTTTCAGGTAGATTACTAAATAAAACTGAACCGGTGTACAAAATATGAATGTTGATGTTTTGGAATCGACATTTTATTTTTATTTCTGGTGTTGTGATCGTGAATTTGACTTACTTTGTTAAATTTCTTTGCATTCGTAATTGCAGAACTCCAACAAAGGGCTGTGGATATAAATGACTTCAGAAAACTAGCTTTGGAACGTCACAACTACCACAGAAGACGCCATGGTTGTGCAGACTTGATACTAAATGACACGGTAAGTGCTATACTAAGTAGATTTTTACCCAAACTCCAATAAATCTACTTCACGCTGAGCCTAGGAATGATCAAAATCAGAGAAGCCATATCTTTGCGATCGAGATTTGCCAATTTCAATTTCAATTTCTTTATTATCCTTATTGTTTGAGAATTGCTGAGAAAACTTCCAAATTTTTCTTAGAAACGTTTTATGGGCTTCCACTACATTAAAATCACTGTAGTTTTTTAAGGAACCTCAGCGGTACAGGAATATTTTTCCCAAAACACCCCTTGTCTCAGAATGTTTGCTCCGGAAGAATCGCTTGATACCCAAATGTTGCACCCGGAATATTACCATACGGAATATTGACAAAATAAACACTCGATGTACTCGTCTCCAAAGAAATAGATTCCAAGTGTTTTTTTGGTAGGTACTTATTACATAGGTTCCATGATTCTCAGAAAGCATTCCAAGGGTTTTGAGTATTCAAAAAATTGTAAGTATACAACCACGAAGACTTCACTTTTAGGTTGACACTAAAATTATAAAATGTTCAGATGTTCTTAAACGTTCTGAATGTTTCAGAGGGTTCAAAGTTGCAAAAGTTTCCAACCACTTCCAAATATCTAAATATCCAACAATAGGAGGTCGTCCAAAAATGGTAAAACAATAAACTATTAGACTATTCAAATACAATTTACAACTAAACTAAACGCCAAAGTTTTAAAAAATTCCAATTATCTCAAGCGTTTAAATTTCGCACAATTAACAAATTTCATATCTCGATATCGGTACTCCAACTTCAAACACTTCGTAGCCAAAATGCTGCGATCTTGCAGTTTTTGGGACTCAAAATCGCTCTTGTTTGCTATCACGGAGGTTTCCAAGCCCAAATTTTAAAGGAAAAATTTAACTTTAAATTCTCTCACTTATGATCCGAAGTCATCTGATCCAATCCGGTGAGGGGAAGGGGTAGGGGGGTCGGAAACGAAAAATAGAGGCCTCCGTATTATTTCCAAACAGGCGGATATTTGGATATTCGGCTTGGAAAAATTATTTCTGGACGTCTTAAGATCTTCTTGTTATTGGCCACGTGGGTTAGGTCTTCAGACCATGCTGCGGTCAAAGCGACAGTCGGATATGTTGGTGGTCACATATTAAGCATTTTTCAAAAATATTTCCTCGTTTCTTACTCTTAGTAACTTTTTCCTCTGAATTACAGATTTCGGCTCACGCGCAGGATTGGGCCAACCAAATATCGTTGGGAGAAGGTCTCCCGCATCGTCCAAACAATCCTTACGGAGAAAACTTGTTCGCCGCGTGGGCGAGCTGGACAGATTACGATATAACCGGGGACGTTGCTGTTAACAGTTGGTACTCCGAAATTCACAAGTACGTATTCGGCGAAGCTACACCGCACAACTTCAACGACGTTGGACATTTCACACAACTCATTTGGAAAAACTCAAAGCAACTCGGAGTTGGTAAGGTAGCTAAGAATGGAAAGGTATGGGTCGTGGCCAATTATGATCCTCCGGGAAATTATGGAGGAGAATATGTGGAAAATGTTCCAAAACCCTTGTAGAACAATATTCATTACTGTCTCTAGGTGACGGATTTATTAGATATTGTAATAATAATTAAACTTTCAAATGTGTATTGTAGATTATAGCAATAAATAAAATCTTTATCCTCGTCATTATCTTCTCGCATTGTTTCCTGAAACCTTTTTCGGAGACTTAGTTATCAATTATAGTTTGTCCTTTCACAGGACTTTTGGGACTCACTCTATAGCTAGAGTTATTTCAGCAAAGAAATTCAAAACTCTAAAACAATCTCAAAGGAAACTATCAAAGGTTCTGACCATGAAACATCGTAAAGTACCAGCTCTCAAAACTCTTAGAACTGAGAGATTTGTAACGCAAAAGCATTTAAAGGTCCCTTGGAGACCCTATGCGACACTTGGACACATGGCCTGCTTCTGTGCTTTAAAGATTCCTAAAAACCAAAATAACTTCGGAAACATTTAGAGACTTTTAAAGACTCTCAAAAATTACTAAACACCTTTATTAAGGGCTTATATATTTAAGATCCTTAATAACCAGTTAATGCTTTGCTCTCAGGGACTTATAAAAGAACGGGCAAGACTCTTAAAGAGAGAAAAGGTTCTCTATAGAATTCTACAAAAAACATTGTTGGAGGTCCTTCGTGGTGTAACGGTTACATGGGATCTTAAAGTGTAGTAGGAATTTTGGTCACGTATGATTTTTGCCCGCAGAATGATTATTGGTTATCTTCGTGGGTTTCGAAATTTTGCACGATTCGAGACATTCTTGTAGAGAATATAGCGGCAAGAAGGCTATTTTGTAGTATAATTGGCTCATGAAAGTTGTTGCTAATGTTAAATCGGTTAGAAATCGGGACATCCATTTGGTTGGTTTGCAGAACCTAGATTGGGGATTGTCCGGATGCCGTTTGTCCTGAGATTGAACTTTTTCTACATGATTGAGCGTATTTGGAAATACAGAGTAATTTTGTTGGTTACTTGCGGAGATTGCAACAAGTGGCGCCTAACTAATTTAATTTGAGTCACCCGCTTCTGCCTGGAGGTAAGAAATCAGTCACGGACTTAAATCGTTACTTTCTTGTTATTTGCGACATTTTCAATTAACTACATGCGAAATTAGATCGCTCACTAGTAAGCGGGCGACACTTTGTGACCCGCAGACCCAATCTCTAAATGAGGATGATAATTTTTGTTAGAAAAGTGATTTTAATAAACTGTTCGACAATTTTGATCCTTAACTCATCAAGTATGTACACAGCGAATTTCGTGGAATTCTCTCTATTTTCGATATCCGACCAAGAATTGCATTGGAATTTTTCTCGGAATTTTTATGGTCAAAAAACCCCAGATACCAAATTTCGTCGGAATCAGAATTTTTTGCACCTCCATTTAGGGGGTGCGTGATTTCGTGGTAGGAATTTTGAACAATTTTTTGCAAAATCGCAAAAAAGGGCATACCTGAAAACCTGTTCAAAGACGTGCCATCAGTCTTTCTAACTCTTATGGTTGATGAGAAAAACATTAAAGAATACAAACAAATTACCCCACTTTTTTGGGGTGGGTCCCAAACGAAAGATGTTTTGAAAAAATGCATATTTAAATGTAACACCCTGTAGATATATAATTAAGTAGATGACAAGACGATAACAACCAGTCGCCATTGCAGACGGACTGATATTATGCCATCCAATGCTGGTGATTTGTATGCTGAGAACGATTTCACCGCCAGTCATTCTCCGTGGAAGTGAAGGGAGTTACCTCTGGCAGGTTTTGGTGTATGACGCTGTGGTGGCTCCGAGAAAGTGGGCGTCTCTCAGTACCTCGATTGTCTTTAAGGGGATACTCTATGAACTTTTTGTTAGAATTGGATTAAGGCAGGATGCAGAGGAGGGGGATTCTATAAAGCTGCAAGAACCTGCAATGCCTCTCTCTGACGCCTCCCAATGTCCGTCTTATATAACCTTAGGTTTACCTTATAGGCCTACCAATCAGCCATATTCTTTGTCTTATTGAACAGTTTGTTGCCCAACTGAGTTTTCTGCTTTTTGAGCGCTCAGCACCACCAAAGATGATTATAAGGCGTCTAAGTAGTCCTCAGAGCACATACCGCTTCAAATGACTCCCAATGGAGTTGGTGAGAAGATCTACTTTGTTCCGTATGTCCGCGCAGGACCCGAGAGGAGTCCCCCAAAAGGGCCCTCTCTAAGTTTACCTCCAATTCAGAGTTGAATAGTTCAAGAATAAATAAAGAAAACATGCATATTCGAAACCAGAAACAAGATTTGTACGAACATTTACAGAATGGTAGAGAATGTCGAGTACATGAAAATACAAGGGAGCGCTGCAGCAGTTTCCCCCCCCCCCACGCCACCCCCGTTTTCGTTTTTTCCTCATAAAACCTTCTCCGGAGGGCAAACGGTAAGAGTTATATGGACTCCGCCGCAGCTCAGGGGGAAACCGAAGTTGGACGCGTCGAATCGATTAGGGTACAATTTATTACCGCCCCCCCCTCTCGCCGGAGGGGGTGCCTAAAGAGGAGAAAAAGCCACAAAAAACACTTATTGGACCTACGGGGTTGGTACTTTCGGAATCCGTAGCCGTGAGTGCTAGACTCCCCCGGGAAAATAGGAAATTGCGTTACAGGAAGGCGGAAGTGGCGAACCGTAAGCGAGACGTCGAGACGCTTTTAACTCGACATTTACTGAGCCCCTCCCCACCGTCTCTCCCCGCCGCTTCTTCCATACAGGGAAGGTAGAGAGGTCATAGCGGGCTAACGGGGGTATCGAGTTGCGGTTTTTTGCGTTGACCTCGTAGCTCGAGGGCGCTTCCGAGGTGCCGAGTCGGGGTTCGCGAATTACTAGAAAACGTGAAGACAGAATTTTGTCATCTCGAGAGCATCGCCTGACACGCCATCTGTAATTTTTTGAGAAAATATTACCTATATTTAGGGGGGTGACGGGGAGGGTCGAAGAAAGAAACAATGTTTCTCGAGGAGGCGAAGATGGCGAATCGGACGTGCGATGTCGCGGTGTTTCAACGCACCATGCAACGACCTCGCACCCCGCCCCCCTCCTCCACTACCCCGCCGAAAAGTTGGGTCGGTCGTAACGGGTGAATGGGGGGACATATCGAGTTACAGTGTTGTGCGTCGGTCTCGCAGTTCGACTGCGCTTCTGAACCCCCCCCCCCCCAAATTGCTCATCAATTGCACTTGTGTTGCCCTTTTGGGCGGTTCCTTTGCAATTAATTTAAAATGAAATTATTCTATGATCTAATATAGTCGCTATGTTGTCAGAGATACTCGATGATGCTAGACTGAGATCAATCACAGTCTGGCTTTGGGTAGTTACAAACGTGGCTGCGATTGACGTTAGTGCTCCCCCACTTAGTATGGTGAGCATTTGGGTCACACCCTATAATAAGATGTTTGTTGATATACTGATGTTATTATTACTTCAATTTTACCCTGTATGTCATACCTCCTTAACTGTGACATCAGAAGAACTTGAAGGTGGCTAGGAACATAAATCCATGTTTTAGGATTTTTGCGGTGCGTCAAAGAACACGATTACTCAAACATTAGATGTCTAGAGAGTGTTCTTTCAAATGGAACTTTCATTTACAGTTCAAGTGGTTTTTAATAAACTAATCAATTACACTTTGAATGCGTAACTGGAACAAATTGAGTCTTTTCGCGATTTCCAACCATTCAAATAATATAATTCGAATTTAAATTTAACAACAAAGCTATACCTATTCACGCCAGACTGGTATCTTTTTCCAGAAGAAACCTTTGCTTACAAAGGTATACGTACACTTCAAAGCGAGAGAAAGCTTCCCAAAGGGTCCGGAAAACTGGTCCCGAACTAATTTGAAAATTCTTCCATCCAAAATTCTCGCACGAATTTAGCGCTCTCCAGAAAAATATCAATTGAAGCATATCTGAAACTGCTTCCAAAGTTATCCTACTTTCGAGACTTCATTCACATTAGGCAAGGGTCCTAAGTATATGAAGCATCCGTCAAAAGGATGTAGAAAAAAGAACAGCAATTTGGTGTTTTCCAATAGGCTTCCCGTGGGATTGCTTTCGCTTGAGCATCATTTCGGAAATTTACCTTAAGGGAGCACCTAAAGCGCTGCCTTTAAATTTCTCGCAGGAAAGTGATTGTAATGAAACACAACGCACACATAAAATTGACGCTCGTAATAAGAAACGACTAGAAAAACATCTTAATTTATACGCGATCGTTAGAATGAGTCCCGTTAGGGACGAACAACTTATGACAATTTGAATTGTAAATGAGCACTTCAAACATGGCGAGGAGATAATGAGAATTTGAAAATTAAGCAATGAACTTTGCTTAACGCAATTGTGCGAAGTTTGTAATTGCTCATTGTAGTCACTAGAAGTCAGCGACGAGGGCGCTTTTCGATCAACGAGTTTTTTGTTGTTGCGGAATTAATTGTTTGCATGTTTAGTGTTGCGTGAGTTTTTGGAGATAAGACTAATTTATACAAGCGTGCTTAAGGGCTTATCGGATTTACTTTAACGAAAAATATCGCTTTCGGGATTAACCAGGTTTGGCACGCAATGACGGAAGGACTTGTTTTATGGCCAATTCATTACGGTAGATCGTAGAGCTTTGAAATCTAGTATCCATTGAAAGCTTTTTTAGAAATCATATGGCTAAGATTTACATCTAAAAATGCAGATACCCCGCTGGTGCTCTTGGATGTACCATTCTTGTCACGTTGCTTCTTATAAATCAGAGCGTTTCATAAATTTATTGTACTAACTTCCATAGAATCTACACAAAGCTATACACCCAAAATACAAAGGACAATAATGAATTTAGTTTCAAGACTAAAAATGTCACTCTGAAGTATAGCACCATCAGATTCCTTTGTTATTTTTCTAATCAGCAAATAGTAATTTTCTGGAACTTATTATTTTTGGCAAATCGTTGATAAATATCAAAAATAGAAAGGGACCTAAGTTTGACCCTTGTGGCACACCAGAGGTTGGAATAATGTATTTTGAAGTGTGTCCTGCATAAACTAGGAATTGTCGTCGATCAGTTAAGTAAGATTCGATGAGAACTGCCACAGTATAAGAAAATCCATAGGTATTC